TTTCAACAATAGGCAATGGTTGCATCTTCAACGTACGAACAGGACAAAGAAGTACGTCTCAGAAGAATACGCATATATTAGCAACATAATACAGCCTATATTTAAAGCGAATAACCCAACCAAGACTTCTGATCAAAATTGGACAGCTCTTTACATTCAAGCTAAAACGTTGACTGAACAAAATGATCCCGAAATTGACATTAGCAAGAAAGATATCTCTTTTTGTATACATGTTATGTTGCAGATTCTGATGGCAATTAAACATGAATCAGGTTTATTTTCGGATATTGTGGACTCTTCAGAATGGGATTATATTGTGAAGTTTTGGGGTCCGATTACACAACGATTATTGTACTTCAATGGTTTACGCCTGAAATGGGGGGATACACATTTGACTATGCACAGCCGCGGACTCGGTAGCGGAAACCCGCAACATGTTGCGTAATTCCACGACATGTTGCGGAAAGACGCAAAATGGTGGATAAAACACGCAACCATCGGCAAATAATTTTTTATTTAAATTTATTTTTATTTTTCCTTCCTTTCCTCTTTTTAATTTTTTTCTTTTACAATAACTGCGATTAGATCAATTGTTGAAAAGAATTTAATTATAATAAAACTTGTTTACTCATTACAGAGAAAGATTCGACCAACTTACAAATTAGCTAAAGAACCAGCAGGATAATAATTAACTGTTGTGATCGAGCTTATATACAGATATAACTCTATCATCAATTCTTTCTTTCTTATTTGATAACCTTTCTATAAATCATTATTGCATTACTCTTTAAATCAAATACATGCTATTACACTCTATTTACTACGCATTGTTTACTCATCAACATATAGAAAACAATAGTCATATATTTATTCCAGATAATACAATCCAATGATATGATCGCTCGTCAATAACAAGATTCTCGAAGGTGCCATGAGATGCTCGATCTTTAATTGACAATACGCCTATTGTATATTTGACAGGTTTCACTTTAATGATTGATATTGAGCCAGCCCTGAATATGTATACAAAGAACCCAATTTATTGTATAATAAAGACTTGAGTTTATTTTTGCAGTTTGATAATTTTACTTCGTCAAATTTCTTTATTTTTTATTCTTAATTCGTTGCTTTATCTCTCGAATTTTTCATTAACCTTAACATTTAGTAAGTTGTTCTTAACCTCCCTGCTTGCAAAATCACCGTTTATAGAGTTTTGTACTTCCGAAGGAAGTACTAGTCCTTTTTTAAGCTTTGTATACCTTCCATCTATGTCGAGTAAAATTTAAAGAAAAATAAAAAGCTGGAGTAAAGCCCCAGTTTTTACATGATTCACCTGTAACTAAAACTACAGCCTGTTCAGAACATGATACGCAATGACATTTAATATTATCTTAATCCCAGGGGGTCAAAATTTACTCGCCGTATATGGTCATCTGTATGCCTTCCATATACGGCGACCAAATTTCAATGTTTTGGTATATATCAACAGGTTTTGACTTACATACTTTGGGAATTTTACCAGGTCTTATTGATGCTTTCTTAAAGATATAGGCATAGTTTCAGCTCAATACAAAGAACAAAAATGAGTTCGTTAAATCGACATATATAGAAATATTTCGTGTACCCATTTATATCACACAGCAAAGAAGCCCAAGTATAGGAAATGTTTTTAACATTTCTGGAAAGTTAATATCTTCAATCGAAATACAACAAAAAAAAAATGTTCTGCATTATGAAATTCAGAAATTCAGAAATAAAAAAGGAAGACAATTTATTGTACACGCCTTGTAACAATGGGAATTAAATACAGTATTATTTTATCACTATGATCCAAGGTATGGCAGTTATTACCAAAATCTGCATAAATTCACCAATTTTTTTTGCGAACCAATGATATCTCGTATCAGATCTCTATTCACTTTTTTATTTTGGGTGCGAAAAAAAAAAGTGGCAAAAAAGACTTAGTTTAATTTATAAACTATTACGGAATAGTTTCCTCAATGCACACGAACTTTTAAAACGAAAGTTTTTTGGATTTTGGAAGAGTTACAGCCGTTTGAATTTTTTTGTTTTTTTTTCAGCTTCAGGAATTGGTGATTGATATGCATACCAGCGTTTTTCCACCAATTTTTAGGTAAGGGGTATGTGTAACCCGACCGATTTTAGGGAGATAGAACTGAAGTTCTTTTTTTTTCTTTTTTCTTTTTTCTTTTTTTTTTATTTTTTTTTTCTTTTTTATATTTTTGACCCTCTTCATCAATGTAATGTTGTTGACATCTGAACAATCATTGTGTGATCCCGAACTAGGTTTCAATTTGGAATTTAAAGATTTATTTTAAAAATATGTGGATATGGATAAGAATATATGTAAAAAAAAAAAGTTTGTGTGGATAAGAGATAAAAAAAAGTATGGGTTGGTGTTGAAGAATAATTAAATGTGCTTTAGTTGTCCAGCACTTTGTTTTACGTTTTCGTTGAAGATCTTGTATGGTGAAACAACTTTATATTCAAGTGAATTGGGTGATGACTGGACCAAACCTACTTGATGTTGGACGTCGTTGAGGCTGATCACAGCATGTCTTGTTGTTGCACTATCGCTGTTCATTTTTATCATCGGTATAGTATTGTCATAGTCGGCAGCGTAATGTTCTTTCATTACTTCAACAAAAACCAAGAATTGTGCATTTTGAGGATCGGAGGTGTTGTTGTGCTCGAAGTAAAAAAGCACCGCCCCAATGTACCAACAAGTTTTGCTACATATAATTGGTAAGTAACCTACACATATTTAAGAAAAAATTGATGCTTACGATTTATAACTAGCATTGAATAAAACGAAGTGATTTCCACGGCGATGTTCCGATCGGATTCTACGGTACATTTTTGAACTTATCACAAGGCTGTACAAAAGTGCGCGGGCAGCAATTTTGAAGTTTATATTGTTAATGGTGATTAGAGAGAGAGGCAATGTTGTTGAACGGCTATAGTATATTTTGAGCTCTCGAAGAAACGTATCAATGGGGACTGATTCGACCATGTCTCCAGAAATTAAATTGAACGGGCTCCATAGCTGATGATTTTGGTTGTGGATTGCTGTAAGCGGCAGCTCTATAAAATCATCCAACGATGTTTTTGTTGCTGTGATTGTATCCAACAAACTGACTGTGTCTAAAGCTAAATTGATATATCCACGAATCGAGAGTCTTTCCACCATGTTCCCAGCGTTTTTACCAGCGTGTACTTTGCTTTTGATTAATTTGGAATATTTGCCAATTGTTCTTTCCATAGATCTTGCACTATAAGATCTCATGCATCCCGCTTTCCTCACAATGTAGCCGATATGAGATAGATAGTGATTGTTCGGTTTGTAAATGCTGTTGGATATATTCTTTTTGGTAATTTCCTGATCTAAAAATACGTGCCAACTCTCGAAACAACTAGGGAAAGCGTTAATTTAATAGGTTCATGAATATATCTAATAAATGTAATTCTACCTTTCCATCTCCTGGATCAAAGGACCCGTAAGCTCCCACTGCAGTGCAATTGCACAACCTCTAGAAAGCATGATAAGTGCTTTTCTTACCGCAGTTCGGGCAAACAAAGGTACCAACAGAGTTGGAACCACGTACAACAAAAAATCCAAAAAGTCGATTGCCCGGGCTCCGTCAGTTTTCTCAATCAGGTTGTCCCAACTTCCCTGAAAAGACACAGGAATACTTGCCCTGGAACTGGTAATACAAGCTCCAACCAGATCAAGTTGTGCTTTTGGAACCTTAAAAGTGTAGCCATCCTTGTTAAAAATATTTTGTTTCTTGGCGTAATAACTTGTGTCATTTGTTTTGTTGACCTTGACAATAATGTCATAAATAAATCGTCCAATGCCTTGCCCAAGCAAGTGCATTTCATCCACGCCATAGAATGAGGAGCCAGAGAAGGAAGGTAACACGGAGAAAAGGTTGGCCTTTTTTAATTGGTGTGCCTATTACATGATTTTTAAATTATAGGCTCATTATCATAGATTGAATAACTTACTTGATCTCCGTGCACAAACTGGGAAATTGTTCTTAACGACGCAGTTCTGTCTTGAAAGTACATGCCAAAACCAGTGCATTCGCGTTTTTCTCCTTTCGACAGGCAAATTCTGCAGCCGAAGGTAGCCATATGCCCGGCATGGTGCATGTATTTTGTGACCTGCAGAGATAGCTGAGTATGATTATGACTTTTTTTTTTTTCTTTTTTTTCTTACCTGAGGGATGTCCCCGGTGGCCATGACCAAATGCACTTTAGCTTTTACTCTCTCACCATTCCATCTTTCGACAATCAACCCATGTTCACCCAGGCTTTTTATCTCATCAACAGTCGGTAAGAGGAAGGAATCTAAGTCCTTAGGCTTACCAGGAATAATGGCAAGTTGAAACATGTACTGATCTGTATATCTAATATTTATGTCAATAATAGCTTCTGAAAACGTAGAGCTAACCTTACCTTATAGATGGGTCAAAATTAAGTACCAGTACATGCACAATTGTCATTTCTTGCTTTGATTTTTTCTGATTGACAAATCCATCGACAAAGAGTACCAGAGCAATATCTTCGGGAGACTGAAAAAAGTTGGCAGCCATTAAAGCCTTGTAGTCCTCGCCATCAAAGTAATCAGAAATGATTCCTGGATTTTCCTTGCGATCATGACGGTAGCGTAACTTTTGTCGTGTTTCCTCATGGCTTAAAAGTTTAGAAAGCTGATCACCAACGGACATCATCTTCATTGTTTGGACTGGAATTAAGGCGGAACCAGGAACCTCGCTTTCGTATCTATTTTCTTGACATACAGAGCAAACTTTTTCATCTTTGGTAATATCAAAAAGCTGACAAACATTTTTGCAAATATCATACTCATGAGCTTTGATTGTTGTTTTTTCCTTTAGAAGAGTCGACACAGGACCGGCATGAAGAATATGGGGGTTATATTCTGTGATTAATAGAATATTCAGTACTGTTTGTATGTATGTATATGGATGTATAAGAAACACTGTACCTTCGGTTAATTTTTCATGATCTCTGATAACAGTATTCATAAGGCGCACAATCTGACGATGGCATTCAGAAGAGACTTGGAAGGATGTGACGATATCATACAACTCGATACTCATTAGCTGCGATGTAGTGAACGCGTGCTCTTGGATAGAAGCTTCATCGTAAACGTGTCCTTCATCACCAGGGCTAAAATTGCAAGAGGCTTTGAATGTTCTCTGCTCGTTAGGATCAAAAAAATCTGGAAATAAAGTTTAAAATTAGTATTTTGATTTTGTGTATGCCCATTATATCACAACTGTCATACTAGATTGGGAGGTATTGGCCGAGGGTGACACTCTGGCTGTTTCCACATTATCGACCATAATGATTTCTTCATTTTGAACAGCAACACTGGGTTCGATATCAACAGCATGAATACGCTTGTGGTTACGAAGATTAACACGGGTGTCGAAATTTCGATTGCATTGGTCGCACGTGATAGGAACGGAAAGCTTCATACGTTTGAATTGGTTTTGCATGGTAGAACAGAAATGTAATATTGGTTGTTATTTAAGAGTAAAAGTTAGCAGTGTGGAAATGGGTAAAGATTTATAAATAAAAACAAGAAAATTATCCAACTTGCAAAAATTAACTCAGGCTTTGTTAAATAAATAAAAGGGGGCCTTTATATACACATTATTTCAGACATTAATAACAGGTGGGCTGATGACGATCGTGGGTAGATTTATCCAGATAATACGCGGATGTAATAATCCTGTAAAAAAAAGACCATAATTCGATGTCAACGACAATAACAATAACAATCATCCTTAAACTGTGTATGTCTGTGTAAGAGTGTGTAACTCTAAGATATCATATATACATATGGATAACCTAATAAATGAAACTCAGTCTATATTTACATCTCTTTCTGTTACTCTTACAGTCTGGTGGCACAATATCCAGGGGAGATTGTAGATCTTGATATAGAGTCATATATTAGAGGTATAGCCTCAATCACGACAAGCAGTTTTCTATTGATTATTTATATACAAAATTTCTCGCTTGTGCTCGACAATTTATGAAATTAATATATTAAAGAATGTGCATAAATTTATATGGCCGATTGTTTTTTTTTTTTTTTTTTTTTTTTTTTTTTTTGCTGATTTATCCTTAATTTATCATTGTATTCTGTTCGTCCCTTTAATTTGAACGTTAAACTTATTAAGATGAATAATAATTCTAGCAGAAGCATCATGTCAACATCCACAAGCGATGATATGGTTAGGGCTGTCTTTAATGAGGTAATTGAACTCAAATCATCGGTTTTGAGATTGGATGAACGGTTTGCTATTCAGTTTTCACCTGCACCAAATAACGAAACTGTAACCAATTTTCGCGCTTTCGCAACTGCAGGTACTATATTTTTTTCAAATTAAGTGATAATTATGTGTAACAAGTTGTCTCTCAAGGTATTGATTTGGTAGCCAAGGAAAGAGAGATGGCCAGAGTTAATGCCCATCCGGATTGTCTTGGTGCCCGAAGTATCGTAGCTACCTTGCCAGGGGCAAGGATAGGGTTCCAGCCAACGCGCACCAACAAAACACCTTGTGCTAACGCACGTATTGATGCATTGATTGTCTATCTGTGGAAAAAAAATCACAGTAACTCTTCCGCAGAGATTGGCCATGCAAAATGTAAGGAAATCAGACTGCAGTTTCGGAGCATCACTCGCCGCTTACGATATGCAATGATTCAGGAGGGTACAGTTGCCACCAGTTGGGGAAGTCTCTCACCTCAAGAGAGAACATACTATGCCTTGAGACTTGAAAGCGATATCTTCGATTACGGTTATCAGATCTACAAGTGTAACAAGAAATGGGCAGCTAATCTACTCATTCAAGACACAATGAAGGGGCAACGTCAAAGTGAAAGACGAAGGGTAAGGTTACTTTCAATAGTTAAGTGAAACCTTATAAATCTCACAAATTGACATAAAATTAGGTTGGGGTTTCCCCCGTCGGAGAGGCTCCAGTAGAAGAACTTGAAGCACCAACTGAAGTTAGAAATACCAGACGTAGATAACATTCCTCTAATTTTTTATATAAATTTAAAAACTTTTTAGCTTTGAATTCTCTTTTCTTTTCTTCCTATTTTATTTTATTTTGTCTTTTATAAGGTATGCAATGCTATTGATCTATGGCATGTTCTGCTAAATGGTAAGAAATTTTATTTTACATTTCCCAAACTGATAAAAATTGTTTGTACAGTTACACCAGTATCACAAGCAGACTGAGGCACAATTGCGTAACACTTGCTATAACTGAGTCTGCCGACTAGACTTTTGTCAGAATAGATGTGATTATGAGTACTTTTGATTTTTTTTTTCTTTTTTTTTTTTTTTTTTTTTTTTTGGGATATTAATGTTATTATGTGTTTTAGACCTCACCCCAAGTATTGGCATTACGCTTTGACTACTGAATCTGCAGGATCTCATTTTCTGTTTAAATATCTTCATAGGTGCATATTTAATTTTGCACATTTCCTAAATTCCATTCCAGGTTGATAATTATAGAAATGCATTCCAATTCCCAATTTCCGAGGGGCCTTATATTATGGACGAGCATTCCAATCAATACATTCTTTCATTTTCAAATTTTAATTAAATAAAATACATTGCAGACCTATAATGTGCATCTGATATAATAATTTTTAAAAAAAAAATTGGTAGTTTTATCCACCAATTTCTTTAAAATTAGTAGTTTTTTTCACCAATTTTAAGCATCCATGCATCTAGACACCCCTATTTTGTTTTTTTTTCAAATAAAGAATGTCCAATCGTTGGTCCTCTATTCCTGTTATGTTTGCGCACGTCATATATTATATCCAATTGGGACATGGGAATATCAGTTTTTATTAGCGGAAAATTTACCCTGAGGATAAATAGTGCCAATTATATTAGTATGTATTTGACAAATAATGTGAAATAAACACCAACAAAATTGGGGGGAATTTGCTCAAAAGGAAGAAAAACTACCAACAATAATAGTGTATTTTTTACTGGTATGATGGAAAAAATTACCAAAAAAATTGGTATCAAAACCCCCATTTGGTAGTTTCACAAGCTCACATCCACCAATATATTTGGTTATGCGTAGGGTGGAAAAAGCAACAATAAACAGTAAATTGGTGATAAAACTACTATGCTTCCAATTATAGTGTATTATGTTAATCTTTAACCTGGTCTATACCTGGTTTTTTTTTATACCATTGATGCTTTCACAGTGGACTCACGTTTTGTAAAAAAAAAAAACTTTGTACAAACTTCAACACGTTTTCAGCGAGTTAAATCATTTCTACCCTGTCCACGAGGAACAAATAACAGGAATCGCCAACTACAAAGCCCTGGTTATAGCAAAATTTGATTAGAAAATATCTTCTATTCAATCAAACTTTTGAATTTTTATAAACGCATATTCTTGTTTTAGTTTTTTTTTAACATATAAAATTATATAAACCAACATACTAGATTGATACATCAAGATAAAAGCAATAATAGTCAGACTGAGTTTTATCATTTCAAAATAATATCTCTGCCAGATAGACCATCACATAGAACGGATTCTACAATACTAACTGTATACACGTTGCAATGTTTTACATACAGGAAATAACAGTATTACGTACGGCTTCTATAACAGCTACTGCGTGTAAAAATGTTGGATTTGCTTATCGGGTGAAACCTAACGTGAGGTAGTTAATTAGAACATCCAATGACACGAAGCAAAAAGTTAACAATTTATTCTACAGATAGTCACTATTGATATGGCTTATGTTTACATAGTAACTTATTAAAGTGCCTGTTAATGTGTTAAAGAATTCGAATTAACGTCTCTTTGGCACTTCTCTCAAGATAACATTACATACGTAAGGGAAACAAACTAATACAAAAACTTAGAGAAGTTAATTACATTACTGGAAAAAAAAAGTAGCGGCCTAGAGGCAAATATGATAAAGTTCCTTTCAAAAGAATAAAAAAATATGTCTAAATAAGCTAACTGGTACGCCACGGATAACAGGCAACTCAGCTCTTAATCCAAAATTCGCAAAAAACTCATGACGACAAAACACTCAAGCCTTAATGTGCAAAACACACCTAAACTTGAGAAAGTACAGAATCTAATTCGAATCGAGTGCAATCAACTATTTAAAATTGAAGAGTAGTAGGATAATCATTAAAAATAAAAGCGCCAATAGCTCGTAATAGTTGTCATTATCGAACATCATAACTATTAATTTTTGGGGAGAACCAAAATGCTAAATAATCAAAATGAAGAAACTGATGTTTTTGTGACAAATTTTATTCTTTCGATTTTATAATTCATCAAACTATTAGAAAGGGAAGCTCGCTACAGCAACCCAGAATTGTTGAAGTCATAAAATGGTTTTGCTTTATGATTACTTTAGACCATTAGTCGATGGGGTTTATAGAATCAGTAATTCACTGTCGAAAAGTGACAATGAATCTTTGGTTATAGCAGCCTAAAATGCCGCTACAGTGGGTGGTATTGAAACAATCTTTTTTTCTGATAATGCCCTCAATTATCGTGTTGCCTGTATGTGCATGCTTATAAAAGTTGAATCTGGGAGCGAGTAAATCTCATACAACAAACGTGACAAATCTGCATTGTATGCACCAACTTAACAAGGAACAAGTAAATTAGATAGATAATGACGTTCGTAACAAAGTCTGTTTATGAAATTATGACAGATATGTTGTAAAACCTCTCGTCATTTTTCTAACAATATGCAAAGCGACTTCCCAAGTTACTGGTTTTCTCGTCTTTGTCTAACGGGAATAAATTTCAAAATAACAGTATTGAAGATTGGTAATGTCGTATGCAATTCAAAGCCATGTTTATATTTATATAAATATTTGCAATAACTTTGATAATCGTAAATTAGGGACAACAGTATTAAAAAGGGATTATATATCTTGAAAACTATGTTGGTTTAAATAAGGATGTCAACTTTGTGAAACGCCGAAAAGAAAAGTTTGCGTTTTAAACAGAATTTCCATCTACTTCATGAGTAAGTATTTCGCAAATAACTTCGTAATCTGCTTTATACGTTCACACTTTGCAAACATCTCCAATTTTCTTACCGGCATCAATATAAATCATAAACGAAGTAAAATATTCTCTGTTGCAACTACATTAATGATATGCCTACTCATAGTAATGTTTTGAGTGACAAAATTTAATGATTTATACTTTATATGGAAGGAGTCTACCAGTCGAAATTAAAAAAAAAAAAGCTGTGTAAACATAAGCAGTGAATACAAAAAAAAGTCTATATACATTTAAGCCATTCAATTAGTAATTAAACGCTCAAACGTCCATATGTACAAGTTGAAGTTTACCATAGCTATAAAATATACTAAACTGCAAACACACTTTACATAATCTTAAGCCTCAATACACACTCAAGGGCAATAATCTAAGACACTTTAAATTGCATTATATTGGCAGCCTTTTCAATTGTTATTTGTATCGATTAATAGAGTGCAATAAATTGTTGCCTGTGATTTTAGCCAATTTTATTATATCTCATATGACAATTTCTCTACATTATAACTTATATATCTTTCTCTCCCTCCTACACGGCAACTTACGACAATGTTAGACAGCTGGTGAACCTTCGCCTTATGAGTATAGTTAATTTAAGGCAAACAAGCTTTATAAGAAGAATATAACTCTTCTTTGACCAATAAGGAGCAAATCCGTAGAAAAATGGATGATGTGCCTTTACAAAAAAGTGATAAAATCAACTACTGTAGAAGACGTTTTAGCGTGATTCGCATTTTAAATAATTTGCTATAGATTAATAAGGCAAAGGTTTTGCCGGCTGTCTAACATTGTCGTAAGTTGCTGTGGAGAAGGGAAAAGAGTCGTAGTCAATTAAAAAAGGGGGAAACCTACTGTTTAAGCTGTCGTATTTGGGTACGATTCACTTAAGAATAAATAAGCAAATCGTTCAAATAATTAAATTATGAAATAAAAAAGAACCTTCAATGTTGCATACCAGCATACACATGTATACTGCTACACAACTTCTCCTACTTCGAGTACATATTTCTATATTAAAGATTACATGATTGGCCTAAATACGAAATACGAATGACAGTTGGATACAGAAAGCTATACCGCTGAGTTATGATATCACCGATCGAGAAGAGAATCTTCTCAGATCAAATCAAGAATTATAAGAAAGAGAAACTTAATATTAATAGTTCTCTCAATGGCTTAGCTACCCATAGAGAGAATAGAACAGCTATTAATATAAATGGATCATGTACTTATATGTTGATATAATTATACTGCCTATAAAGAGTATAAAGAAATAGTGTATGAATTAATGGATACCTATCTTCTACAACCAAATATACAAATTTCGATAAGATATTCCATATTTGGGATCGTATTTTATGCATAAGAAAATTAAAGCATAAATGATCAATTACAACTATTATGTTCTATTGCCAATTACACTTGACAAACAAGTATGTGTCTTTTAACAGTATCCGTTACACGATCTTACAAAGAAGTGTGCCACTGCACCAAGTATTTGTCAGAATACTCGTGTTCCCGTTTCACACATCTGGGACAACGTTACCTTTAATCAATTCTAACGAGTAGAGTTTAGATAACACAAGATGGAAGACTAAAATATAGATTTATTCCAAAACCAGAAAGGTTGACTCATCATAAATCCAGGAGATGTTGGCAATATAAAAAGGATTGATTATTTCATAGCAGCAGAGTTCTTGAGTCTATGTTTACCCTAATAAAAATATTCGTTTTATCTCATTATTTTTATACGTGCATTTTATCAAATATCACACAACCCGCAGAAAAAGCAACACCAATTACATGACCATTATGGTCAACTTCCCTAATTGGAGAGACAGAAGATACTCCAATTCTTACCGAAGCAAACGCCTTGTTGGAATCGTCAAACGTGTAGGCCGAGATGTTTAAACTCCCTAATAATATGTAAATCGACTCTATGAGAAATTCGAGAGATAAAGCTACGAATTAAGAATAAAAATAAAGAAATTTGACGAAGTAAAATTATCAAACTGCAAAAATAAACTAAAATCTTTATTATACAATAAATTGGGTTCTTTATATACATATTCAGGACTGGCTGAATATCAATCGTTAAAGTGAAACCTGTCAAATATACAATAGGCGTATTGTCAATTAAAGATCGAGCATCTCATGGCACCTTCGAGAATCTTGTTATTGACGAGCGATCATATCATTGGATTGTATTATCTAGAATAAATGTATGACTATTGTTTTCTATATGTTGATGAGTAATCAATGCGTAGTAAATAGAGTGTAATAGCATGTATTTGATTTAAAGAGTAATGCAATAATGATTTATAGAAAGGGTATCAAATAAGAAA